ATATTGATAACGACTAACAAGTTTGATTTAAATTCTCACTCTTATCTAACAGACAAATAACATGGTTTAGGATGTTTTGCCTTTCCATATATATACTCTAATATTAAAGCCTACCATGATGTTGTGTAGACAGATATTTTGTGTAACCTTTCAAATTTATTTTTCATAAATATAATCTAACCAATTTTCTATTAAATTAAGAAGTTAGTATTTACTAAATTAGAAAATATCTATGACATGCTAGTTATTACAACATATGATAATTGAAATAGTAATTATTAGTACAAGGTAAAAGGTCTAATGAGTAATAGTTACTATTTTTTTAAAAAAATTTGCTTTAAACCTAGTCCTTTGTCATAAGAAAGGAAGACGCATACACTCACACATATACATAAACATGTCAATGTTGAGTTCAAACTTAATATTTTTTTTCTAGAGAGAAAGTATTTAGCAATAGGACAAGTAGCCTTGACTTGATAGTTAATTACTAATTAATTATTAGTGTGTATCATAAAAAATGACCATCATATATAATTAAAAATAATTAAGACATACTTAAACATTCTTCTCCAAATCTAATTGGAAATTCTAAAACTTCAGAGGCGTGAGGAGAAGTGAATTTTTAATGATATGATATGATGTCTCAATCTTGTAATACTATTACACTTTCGAATGCGTGAGGAGACATTGAATTTTTAATGGTATCCAAATAAAATAATGTGATTGATGCATCTATATAGGTATACTAGCCATCATTAAGTCACCACTCATTAATTCATTGGCATTGTCAATCTTAGATTGATTTGCCTGTGAAAAGAATATATGGTGAGGAGGATGGGCGAGAGTTCTTTAAAATTCCTTGTGTTAGTTGTTATATTTGCAGTTGTTGCTCCCAATACTTGGAGGGCGACGGGTGCTGAGGTTCAGTGCATAGAGAGGGAAAGGGAAGCCTTACTTCACTTCAAAGCTGTTCTTGGCAGTAGCTCTGGTCATCCTTAGTCTTCATGGGACGATGGCCAACTCTACAAAGATTGTTGTTAATGGGAGGAAGTTTATTGCAGCAACCAAACTGGTCATGTCTTGATACTCTATCTTTCAGCTACTGACTCAAACCATGTACCTTGTAAGGTGACATCAGTGCATCCTTAATCAAATTGCAATACTTGATGTATTTCAACCTAAGTTTTAATTTCTTTTGAGACACTTACTTTCTTGAATTCTTTGGCTGTCTTATCAATCTAATGTACCTTGATCTTTAGTTTTGTAACTTAAATAGTGGAAATATTCTAAGTCAACTTGGACATCTTCTACACTTGCAATATCTTGATCTCTTGGGCAATTTTCTTAAAGGAGGAATACCTTTACAGTTTGGAAATTTCACACAATTACAACATCTTGATTTCTCATTCAATTGACTTCAAGGAAAAATTCTTCGTCAACTTGAAAATCTCTCACAATTGCAGCATCTTGATCTCTTATATAATTAACTTGAAGAAGCAATTCCTTATCAATTTGAAAATCTTCAAAACTTGCAAAAACTCTTTATTGGCTATGTAGGTACTCTTAAAATTGATCAAGAAAATGGTGTTGGTGGTGAGTGGCTGTCTAGCCTTATCTTAAACTGGGGAAGATAATTGATCTCAAATATTCTCACAAATAGTTGCAAATGATTGCAAAGTTGCCCAACTTGAAAGAACTAATGCTCCCTTACAATAATCTTTCAGATCAACATATCCTTTCATTGTCTTCTTCCAAATTCAACTCCTCTTCTTCCCTTTCTAAACTTAATTTATCCTATAATAACTTCATGTCATCTGTGACATTTCACTAGCTCCTAAATGTCAACTCTGACCTTGTTGAGCTTAATCTTCATCTTAACCTTTTAAGGGGTCCCATACCTTATGAATTTGGTAGCATCATGAATTCTCTTAAGACTCTAGACCTCAGTCATAATAAACTCAATGGCAGATTTAAATCCTTAGGGAATATCTACACCTTGTGTTCATTATTCCTTTCCTACAACTCTTTGAATGATGTTCTCACTGGCCCTCATTTTGCTAATATAAGTAGCCTAAAAACTCTGGACCTATCTGACAACTCATTGGCTTTGACTTTCAGCCATAATTGGGTCTCGTCATTTCAATTACAAGCCATACATTTGGGCTCTAACAAGTTAGGTCCTAGTTTTTTCAAATGGTTGCAAACTCAAAATGATTTTATTAAATTTGATATTTCTAATGCAGAAATTTCAAGTATTATTCCAGAGTGGTTTTGGGGTTTGCTTAAGGCAAAGCTGCAATACTTGAATGTTTCATGTAATAATTTTTTTGGCACCTTACCAAATGTTCCCCTCAAATTTGTTGGAACCCCTATTATATCTCTGGCCTCAAATCATTTTGAAGGCCTTGTTCCACAATATCTAAATAATGCTTCTATCCTTTATCTATCAAATAATAATTTTTCAGAGCTTTGCCTATTTTTATGTGAAAACAAGGTGCTTTACATAGAGATTTTAGATCTTTTCAATAATCAATTATTTGGACAACTTCTTAATTGTTGGAATCATTTCAAATCATTAGTCTTTATGGACTTGAGTAATAACAATTTGTCTAGAACACTTCCTGCTTCTATTGGTTCTATATGAAGCATTGAAGTATTTATTGCTATTAAAAAACAATGGGTTTTCTTTAGAGTTTCCTATCACCTTAGGTAATTGCTCGAATTTAATATTGCTAGATGCTGAGGAAAACAAGTTCTCAAGACATATGCCTTCAGGGATTTTGGTTAGATTACAACAATTGGAAATATATATTTTACAAAATAATAACTTCTACGGAAGTTTGCCAATTCATATTTGTTACTTGTCAAGCCTTCATTTCTTAGATCTCTCAATGAACAATTTATTAGGAGAGATACTCAAATGCTTCAAAAATTTTACAGCAATGGCTCAAGAGAATTTTTGATATACTTCTCACTTATATGGAATTGGTAATACTCTTTTTTCATGAGTTAAGTGCATTGTTGATGTGGAAAGGTGCAAAACGACTATTTAAGAAAAATATATTTTGAAAGAGCATTGATCTTTCAAGCAATCAGCTATCTGAAAAAATTTCAACAGACTTGGAAATTTTGGTTGAAATGGTATCTTTGAACTTATCAAGAAATCAATTATATGTGGAGAAATTCCTTTAGAGATTGAAAGATTAACATCATTAGACTTGCTTGATTTGTCCAGAAATCATTTCTTTGGTTCAATTCCTTGTAGCCTTGCTTTGATTGATCGCCTTGCAATGCTAGATTTGTCATATAACAACTTTTTTGGAAAAATTCCTACTAGCACACAATTGCAAAGTTTTCCTAACTCTAACTATAAAGGAAATCTTGACCTTTGTGAAAAACCACATGCAAAAGAATGTCTTAAAGCGAATAAAGCGCACGAGTTTGCTAAATTCCAACAAGATAAGCATTCAATTCTCTCAAAAGAGTTTTATTGGAGCATGGCATTTGGATTTATTATTGGATTTTGGAGAATTTTTGGCTCAATTATTTTTGGTCACTCTTGGAGACATGCCTGCTTCAAGTGTTTGGACAATTTGATCGACACTGTTGTTGTTTTGGTCATAGTGAATATGATTAAATGCAAGAGGTGGTTTAAACATTATCTGGTATTTATCTTTCCATTTTCTACTCTTAGCTTTTGCATGTATAGTAATTTACATCAATTTCTATCTATTCGTGCAATTAATTTCCCCACATTATTCTTGCATGCTTTAGCTTATCCATACGTGGTATATTCTTCATTTACTGATAACTCTATTTATAATTATAATTGTTGTGTTATTGGATCTTCTAATTAATGTCCAAGGTTATGTATCTTTTGTCCACCAAAAAAAGCAATAAACAAATTGATTTTGTTAATAATATAACATTCTAGAAAGTACTACTTTTGATTCTATTTATAAATTATTTCTATCAATATTATTGATACTAATACAACAAAAGTATAAATAATAAAAATAAGTAAAATTTTAAACATGACTCTCAAATAAAAAATAAAAAGTAAACAAACTATATGATATTATTTTTTTGTCACTTTTTTCCTTCTCTCTTACTTTTCAAGGATAATTTAAAAGATTTTAAATAAAACAATTCTATCTATTATATAGTAACTTATAAAGTGGATTAGATTATGTTTTTAAAAGGTACCTAATATATAAGATTGAGAGAGTATAGGATAAGAATATTCAGCTAATTACATGAACAATCCTCGTTTGTTGCGCATTTTAGGATACAAATAAATGTGTACAGTTTAACATTAGTGTGAACGTGAAGGTTTGAATAATTAGCACATTTATTGCTCCCTGTTTTACTTTAGCTTCGGGCAGACTTTTTGCCCTTACTCCTCTTCTTCTTCCTCCTCTTATTATTTAGTTATTTATTTATTACAAGAGAGACTGAGGTGACCAATGTTCAAGGTGGTCTGCAGGTTTTGAAAGTTCAAACACTTCACTGTAGTCATTAGTTGTGCTCTCCATTTTGGTCAACCCTGCTTCACTCTGATATCGGTTTCAATCCAGAGATTTCCTTTGGCTTCCATAATTTTGATTCTCTTTCTTTCATCATAATTAAATAAATGTTCAGTCAATTAATAATTAATCACTAAATTAAAAATTGTACTGTATTGTTTTTCCTCCTGTACTCCCTCTGTCCCATTTTGTTAATATTTTTAGAAGCGTTTTGGTGTTAAAAATATGATTTTTTTTAAATAAAATTTCATTAATGATAATTATTTCAAGGAAGAATTACCGGCAAGTACCGCACATTAATTCTAATTACCCAAAATCTGAACCCCTGATTTAGTTTTTGATTTTAGCAGTCACTCACGGGAAGGGGGAAATCCAATATCATATGTACCATGTAGTTCAAGATAATTTTTTTTAATCAAATAATTATGAACGATGAGGACATTGAAATCTATGAGCTTGATTTTTTTTGTTTGGCAAGTAAAATTCACAAATTACAAGGTTGATAAATTCGCGGTAAAGATATTTTGAGTATTGAGATGACGAAGACACAAATTCTATGGCGAAACTCTTGGGTATTGGATGGGTGAAGAAATTGACGAGGTCATTGTAATTCACGGTTCCATAAATTTCAAGCAGTCACATACCATGCCAGCCACTCCCACTTGCCTCGGCTCCCTGACCGTTCTCATTCGTTCTCCAATCACACCAAGTCAAGTTGTTCTTTTTCTGATGTGAGACAGAAAGTGCGAGTTATCGGAATTAGAGAGTGAACAACTCTCTCATGCGGAGTCCAATCCTATTCAATTCCGGATTGCAGCTAATCCGTTGCTGCTGCTATGCCCACCACCGTTTGTTGCCGTCAGTCTTCTCTTCTCCCCGCCTCTCTCTTCCTCCCTGACAACTCTAGGGTTTCGCTTCTGAAACGTCCGATAGGCCGGCTATCGTTCAACAGGATCTCCCCTCGTGTTCAATTTCAATCCCGGTTTCTGACTACCGTAAGATTTCTGTCTGCTTTTGTTTGCTTGTGTATTAATTGAATTTCAATATCTGCTCTTTGGTTGCTCGGAGAATTAGGGGTTATTGAAATATAGAATGGATGGAGATTATCAGGAAACAAAGGCGTTCTTGAATGATATTGTTCGAGTGGAAATTTTCAATATTTAATCTCTCTCTTAGCTTATCGGCATTTACTTTCCCTCAAAACGTTCTTTCGTGCCCTGCGCGCGTCATAAGAAACAAGACTGGTATCATTTTTCAGTAGGGAGCAGTGTCTGCTGGGTCGGAGTATCCAATTAAAAGTGCACATCTGCTCCATGTCCATAGAGGGTTTTAGACTATTAGGTCTTAGCAGTGGATCGTTCCCGCTGGATGCTTCTGCTTAGCCAGAACAAAAGTAATATTTAGTATTCAGGTTTCGATGGTGGCACTTTGAAGCATGAGCAAATAATGTGATATGCAATTATCAGTCTTGCAACGAAATTCAGCTTAAATGCTCTTCATTATCATTAATCAACGGAAAAGGATTGTTTCTCCCCGACACATGCATCCCCATTATCATTAATCAACAGTACCTATTTTATTTGAGAGCATAAAACCCATTTTGAAATCCAAGTTGAATCGCCTTTTCTTTTTAATATAATTTTTGAAATCCCATTCAATTCTATTCTGCATACCATACGAACCTGCCAGCTGAGATTCTCAGCTTGGATTGATATCAACTAGCGGATATGATTCTGGTCTTTAAACTGCTTCAATGAAGCTAAGCATATCTTATCAATGGTGAACCTGATTTAGAGGAGTGGTGCAGTGGCTCGATGAAAGATATTGCCATCATTTTAATGAGACGTCATTATTTAGACATATTCCTTCTGGTTGATGCTTCTTAATGGATTTGTTTTCTTATTTGATTTGTTAAAAGGAAGCTAAGGTTAGGGTTTCAAAATTGATGTCCTCTATTTAGCCAATAGTTAAAGAAATCATGATCAACAAATGCAGGGACTATAATGTATAGCCATTTGTAAGGCTAATGGATACTGCCTTTCTCTTTATTTAATCTTAATATGTCTAGGTTAGCAGACCTCGTCTGAAAGATGGGAAAATATCAAGGAATGGTAGTGAACTTAAGAATGGTTAAATGCTGTGTCTATGACACAGAATATGAAGTACCTAAATTGATTTTTGTTGGTAAGTTTCTTGTGTTTACACCCTTTTCTACTTCTATCTCTGAGCAACTAATTTTTGCATTTCATTAAGAATTGTCTTATTAAGGAAAACATATGATTAACCACTGGATGAAGTTGATCTGCTATGGTTTATCTTCTTGTCTTTCCATTACCCTAACTTCAATTGTTACTCCATTATAGAAATGGAGATTTTCCTGTTATAGGCATGAAAACTCTTCATCTGAGGTTCGTAGCTCGGAGCTCATTGAAGATGAATTTTCAGAAGATTTAGTGAAGCCCAACTGCGACCAATCCAAAGACTTAAATAGAGATTGGCTTTCGAATATTCACAGGGTATTGGTTTCATTTGTGGAGAATCTTGGATGAAAAGGAAAATGATATGTTTTTTAGCTCTTACTTTCTGTCTTTTTTATTTTGAACCAAAGATTAGTTGTAGTACTTAGTAAGTGCTGCCTTTTTCCATTTTATAGCATTTTCATTAATTGTTGTTGTTGTATTTATTGTTTAAGATTTGTTCTATTGCTTGCACATTTCGGGATCTTGGTTAGACTATTTATTGGGGCATATCTCTTTTTGTGTGTGTGTGTGTGTGTGTGTGTGTGTGTTTTCCTTGATATATTTCTTTTACAATTTTAGTGATTCATCTCACTGGCTTTGTTTTAGTAGTTAAGTTTGGAAAACATGTCAGCAGCTTAGTCGATTGATATAATCAGTTTATGCATCTTACCCATTGTTATTTTAACCTTGAATCTTAGATAATTTCAGATGAGAATGACTATGCTAATGGTATTGCACAATCCATGAAGCTGACTTAACTTTGTGGGATAAGGCTTTTTGTTGTTGTTAATGATTAAGCCAATCTTACTTATTATCTTGGAAAGTCTCAGGAAGAGTGAAGGCATTGTTTGCTGGTGTTTCAGGGTGCAAATGCAATTCTCGGCATGGAACCTTGGACTGTCCCCTGGACAGAGAAGACCATTGTTCAGGTAAAGGATTTTCTTTATGCCATCCTCAATGTTAATGGTTAACTAGGCATAAGGTTATCTAAGCTTTGATTTCTAAGTAAGGAATACAGAGTCATGAGTTTCTTCCATTTGATTTCTTGAAGTTTCTGAATTGATATAACATTCTTCAGTTAGAAAATTGGAAATGGATGTTAGTAATAAAGACCAGCACGTTATACCGTCTACCTGATTGATTACCAAATATGGCTGCTTAAAAGGAAAGGATGTCAGGAAAATTTATATTTTTGTGCTATTTGGATGTTAGTGAAGTTAATACTATTTATGTGATCATACTATTCTAGGGTTAATACTATTAGCAAGCTGAGAATAGTCTGCCCTACTAGGGAATGAATCGGTGTCGCATGTGGTGTGTATATTAGTAGCCAGGTCAGAATATGAATATAGTAGCCATTAATGATGCCTCTCTTTTTAATAATCTAGTAAATAGGAGATTTGATGCCTCTGCTTATTATGGTGTTGGTTATTTTTGTATTTGACACTTACAAAAAAGGGACTGTGTTGGCATCATCACGAATTGGACAATTCACATTTGATGGTTATTCCACACTCTAGTCTCTCAAAATTGTATTCCAAGGGATGAACATATATTTCAATATTTGGTGCTCGTTTCTGGGGGAAATCTCATTTTCCTCCTTGAGCTAAGGCTTAATCCAGCATTGTTTGGCGTTAAGGAGATATTGTTACTTTTTAAAGTTCAGGGTATTTGTGGGTGTTTCATTACGTCTCTAAGTTCATATGCCAGTTTTGTAATTTAACCTGATTTGATAAGGTCAGAATGTAGTTTTCCCACTTGAGCATGTTCGAACCCAATAAATCATATTTTAGGGTAGTAATTGTATAAGTCTTTTAGTAATTCATACTTTTGTAGATAATGATTCTGTATATTTATAAAATTTTGAATGCATGTCTATTTGGACTGCCAAGTCCAATTGTTATTATTATTATTTTTAAGCAAATGCCAAGTCCAATTGTTAAATGTTGGATTTTATTATATATTGTCCTTGTGGTGTAGGCTTGCTTCATAGCTCTTGATCTTCAAGAGGCGCTGAAGCTTTAACCTATTGCCTATTTGATAATTCTCTTAGGTAGCTTTTGGATTGATGGATTTGATTTTAAATTTTAGATTAAAAATCTCATATTTAAAATCCATGTATTTAAATTCTTGTTTTGAATGCTGTGAAAAATTGTAAAAGTAAACAAGAAAGAAGCTGAAGTTCGAAGCAAAAACGGAAGATTGGAAGTGACAAGTTTACTTTTATTTTTCAATTGATGAGAGAAGAGAACAGTAAATAAGAGGACTGGGGAGAATAACAGAAATATTGATAGTGAAAATGTGAAGAAAACAATAAGTTTGGAGTAGGTGGAATTTCAGATAACTAGGGTCTTGAGAGAATTTGAAATTACAAAAAAGTTATGATAAAACATGGATTTGGATTTGGATATCCAAATCCAAAGATTTTTTTTTATCCAAATGGAATATTTGGTTCAAATCCAAACTCTCAAGCATCCAAACGCACCCTTGTAGTTTTTAACTTGATCGAATTTTCTTCAATGCATCTGAAGCTCATTCATACGTATCGTCCTATATCATATAGGATAAGCATTATGATATGTAATAATATTGCCAGTTGTGAGTTAGAACTGTTAGTTTGAAGAAGATAATAAAATATTTTTGAAGGCTTCCTAACTGGAAGATTGCAATTTAAAATTTCAATATCAGGCATTTAGATTTTTTTTTTTAAATAACGTTTATAGTCTTGGACTAATTTGCAGTGGGTACAATGAGATATATATTGATTGCGGGATTTGCGCAGGCTGAGCATCGACAACCTTATGTGAGAACTAATATTGGTTTGGATGAATAAATCAGGAGTTGAATAAATTGGTCTGGTTGCATTATTCTCAAGTTATCTATCATTTCTTTAGGATACCAATTTGAGGCATTTTATTTAATATTTTTCATTTATCTTGTCTTAGTAATGCTTTCATTACATTTAGAACGGCAACTGAATTGTGTTTTCCAGGTTATGCTGCTATGGATTGCCTCATTTTGGTTAGTCGGATCTTGGATAGTTCCATTTCTGGCATACACAGCAGGGTTCAGGAAGGAGTCTCTTACATACAGAGGACAAGCCTTGTACAGCCTCTTGACAGATGTTGCTGAAGGTTTGGTTGGGATAGCAATACTTGAGCATTGTCTCGCAAAGTTTCAACCACTTCCATCCGACTGGTTCAAATTTAGACTCAAAGGCAAGTGGCCATTTGATGTTGGCCTAGGGTGCCTGATGTTCCCCCTTATTAACCAGCTGTCACAAGTGAATCTAAATTTACTGCCCATTCTTCCATCTACACCTGTGACTATTTCAAGTGTAGAGCAATCAATTGTGGCAAGAGACCCAGTGGCAATGGCCCTCTATGCAGTGGTGGTCTCAGTTTGTGCCCCCATATGGGAGGAGATCGTCTTCCGAGGTTTCCTTCTTCCATCTTTAACAAAGTATATGCCTGTATGGTGTGCCATATTAGTTAGCTCCGTAGCTTTCGCCTTGGCACATTTTAACTTGCAGAGAATGCTGCCTCTTGTATTTCTTGGAATTGTAATGGGTGTTGTCTTTGTAAGGTCGAGGAACCTCTTACCATCAATGTTGTTGCATAGTTTGTGGAATGCTTTTGTATTTCTTGATCTCATGAAATGATAGGTTGTGCATTATTTTTCCAGCCTTATCGTCTTCTCTACTATCCCCCCCCCCTTTCTTTTTTATTGAGCTTTCTTAATGTTGCTTCTTTTATTAACAAAATGATACTTTTTCAAGTTCTTGCTCCTTTCTAACATCAATGGCAATGATCATGTCACTGATCCTGCTAACAATATGCAAATAACTTTCCCATTCGGCCATTCCCCATGGATAAGAATAAGATTTCCATTTGCAGACCCCCCCCCTTCTCTGTGTGTATACGTGTATGTATATCTATCAAATAAAAAGTTGTGGGCTGAACCATATAACGCGAGCGGCAGCCATGCAGCTTGAATATATGTGTAAAACTCGAACAAAACTATCATCAATTTGAAGTTAGTTTATTTGCATCGGCATACGTGTTTCTTCTTAATACAAAGGCCAATACTATCATTTGTATTTATTTGCCCCTGTTATTCTTCCATCCTTGGCCCATGAATGAGGGTCTTCAATGCGTTTAGTTCTTCAATGACAGCGAGAATGCTATTAAACGAGAGTGCACCATTCATTTAACAGAGATAGCGAAACAAAAGATAAAAGAATAGAAAGTACTGTCTCCGGTCATGAATCATATTTGTAGATGATAAAATAAATAAATCATGTTTATAAGGCAAATAAACAGAAAGATATTTTTATTATACTTATAAATTAGGACTCATGTCATTAAATTTTTATTATAAATTTTTTCCTTTTATCCTCATTAAATGTTAATGAGATAAAATATGTTACTCCCTCTACTCTAAAATATAAATATTTTTCTTTAACTAATTTTATTTTAAAATATAAACAACTTAGTACATGTGAGGAAAAAAATCCTCATTTTACCCCTTATATTTATTAATCTAGATATTTATATTAATATATCTTTTACTTATTATAGAGTGCTTTGATAATTGTGATTAGAAGTAAAAAAAAAAGAAAAACAATATATATTTTTTATGGGAATGAAAACTTTATTGGTATGCAAATTTTTCTCAAAAATTAATTATATTTTGGACTAGAGGGAGTATTAAAGTATGTATATTTAATAGAAGTGCAGATGAAAATTTATTAAATTTTTAATAGTTAATGAGTTTTAAAATTTTTCTTGATTCTAATAAAAAATGTTGGAAGTAATTTATAGATAAAATTAAAGCACCTACACTCTATTCTTTTCTTATCTCTAATTAGTCACCCACTATGCATTTACTTAATAAGTTCAGTGATCTAGATCCTTACCAAATGCCCAAGCCACGCATTGATAGTCTCATTCACTCTAGCAACCTTTTGCTTTACCTTCAGCTGCGCTGGCTGGTTTGTTACTCCATACTTATCTACAGCTATGCTCTTGCAGAAACTATTCAATACTCAAAATGTAATGATGTCTTACCTAGGTGGCACTCCCATCAGCTGTTAAATGAATCTGGTTCTCATCAAATGGTCTGTATCACTGACAGTTAGACAGGATACTGGCACATCATGATTCCCATAAAAATTTTCCAGCTCCTTTTTGCAAGAATTTCTGTCATACTTAATTTTCTTTCGTACATGCATGATTGGTGTAACATTGTTTTCAGAATTAGACTGCATTAATGAGTGTTGGATTTACTTGCGAATGCTTATTGTCTTCAAGGGAGACATAAGAGGGGACCAGTTGTTTTCAAATCACTCTGCCTTGTCTCAAGAACTATTGTTCATGTCTGCTTCTTTATCCGACAACCCCAGGGGCCCTTGTCTGCTACATCAAACTTTCACACAATTTGCCAACCATAACTAATTAGTTCATTTCTGTATGAAAATGACATTGTTTTTATTATAATTTAAACCTCTCAAGATTTGTGCCCAGAATCACTCAGACTGGTAGTGGATGAAAAAGCATAAATTTTCCTTACCAGGAGAATCTCATGATATTTTCTTGTTTTTTTCCCTTTTGCCTTTCAGGTTTAACAGATTCAGGACAAAACATACAGTTACGTACGTGAATTGGTGACATGTAATTTATCCATTTCCGCCTTCAACATGAGAAACTGAACATGTCCATTGTCATCTTCACGTTTGTTCTGATGTTGTAAGCTCCGTAATGTTGTGCCAATTTGTTTCTTATTTCATATTTACACAGTTTGATTCTCTTCTTCACTGTAATTATTTGAATTGAATGTTCTATTTTATCAATTGAGCCAATCCTTCTTGGTCAAGAGAAGAGATCATTTATATCTGTCATTGCGTAATGTTTCAATTTGTCCGTATCTCATTAATTCATCTCCTTAATCTGATCAATGACTTGTCATAAATGTTGAAATTAACTGAAATATTTACTTCAATTTCTTTTTATATAAATATCATTAAAAATTGACTAGACTAAAAGTTAAAATTGTAATAGTCAATTTGACAAGGACTTGACTTGTTATATATTTCTTTCAAAGAACTTAGCTTAGTGTTCTTATTGGAAACAATACCTCCCACTAGGTTTATAGTTTCCGTTAGAATAGCTCAATGGTCAGGCATAAATATATTCATCAGGCCCTTTATCTCGAGCAAGACTAATTCATTGTATAAAGAAGTTCATGGCATGAGCATAAGTGACCTATCGATTCCAGTGTCTTTTCACTCTCATGAAACAATAATGTTGTCTACTATGAATATAATAATGATGGTGATGATGATTATGATGATTATGATGATGATGATGATGATAATATTTGCAATTGTCCGATGTAAAATGCATATCAATGTGATTTAGGTTGCATGATATAAAAAATATATGATTGTGGAATGGAATATATTATCATCTTGGTACATACATATGCTGAAGTAGTTGGGATGTGGTGATCAGAATAATAGAATCATCTTTTTAAATTGGTCACGTCAATCCAGAATTGATCAACACAAAACACAACAGGACAAGAAGAAAGCAGAGCAAGCTACCCAAATCAACAACACCGACTGTTCATATCAGTAAGAACTTGACTTATTGGTGATAAAAATGGAACCTCTGAACTACAATCTTAATACAGTTTAGTAGAGTAATATGTAGTATTGAAATAATACCTAGCAAAGACAGACTCTTAAAAGGAAGGTATTAAGGATTTTCCCTTGTACTTTTTTTAGATATATTTAGATTGATAAGAATTGAGAGGGAGGGGTTGATTAAATCTAAATTATAGGAAAATTCAAAATCAAACCTTCCCTTCTCTATATTTCTCAGGTCAAATGTATACTCAATGAAACATGCTGAACCATCGATACTGGTTCTGCTTTGTGTGTCTGAATAGGCAAGAACCTGCTTCTTTTCATTTCAATGAATATGATTTCTGATAAATTGAACTAAGTTCAATAAATAAACAAAAAGGGTCCCAAAATTTAAAGAAACAAATGATTAAAAAGGCAGGGCAAGATTAACTAGTGATGCAACAGGACATTATGGGTCTGGTGTAGGGGCTCACTTTTCTATTCTCTCTCTCTCTTCTTTTTTTTTTCTTTTTCTTTTTTTCTCATTTCCCATTATTAAAATCCATTGTCTCTCGCCAGACAACCACATTCCCAATTGTTGGAGTGAGATGATGTATCAAGTGTGTCTATATATATATATAGATATAAAGCATTTACTTGAGCCATAGCCCACCTTGTGTCTTCTTTCCTTACCTTCAGAAATTCCTGAATTATTTTGCATCCTTTCTTGTTCCCATGGAAACTTCCCAGCCTATTTCCATTGAAAGCTTCTCTTACAGTTGGCTAGTGAACATGAAGCCATCTCTTGAAGCTTGTGTTGATGCATCAGATGAAGCTTCTTCCTTCATAGAAATGGACCCAAGAAATCCACCTTCCAAGAGGTTCTTCCAAAGGAACTCGCAGGAATTCAAGTTTGACTTCCCAGTTTCTCAGTCTCCTCTTTCTCTAGTTCATGCAGATGAGCTCTTCTCCAATGGCTACCTCACTCCTTTTTTTGCTGATTCCTTGAAGATGGAATCTTACAGTGATTCTGTTTTATCAACCTCCAACCTAGTTCTTCCTTCTTCTTCTACTTCTTCTTCTTCAATAAACAGCATGGGTCCCACAGGCCAGGCTTCTAGATGTTCTTCTTTGAAGAGGTGCAGGACGTTGTCAAGGAGGGTGTTTCAGAAGTATCTCAACTTCTTGAGGCCTCTATGTAGAAGACTGAGAGGTCGTCATCAGAAATCAGGTTCAAATCATGAAGGTTCTGGTAAAAGAGGTTATTATGAAACATCCCCAAGAATCAGTGTTGCTTATTCTGCAGATGACTGGAGAAAGTCTTGTGATTCTGAGAGCTCAATCTATGAGGCTGTTCTTCATTGCAAGAGATCCATTGGTACGTACGAATTCAATAGCAGAAAAACTATTCATGAGTTTTCACTTTATACCTTAAACTTTAAGCTAAAATGATATAACACCATGGACTACATAATCTTGTTAATCTTTACTTAGCATATGATTTATCAATCTTCGTATAATAACTTCAATTATACTTTTGAATTGAAAATGGTCCATGGAAGAATAAACTATCCATTAGCAGTGTATTGTGATGAAAACAAAAGTCGATAGGACTCGTATTAACATTTGAATCAATTTTTTTTTTGCAGAAAGGAGTTAAGAATGGTGCAGAAGGAAAGAAAGATGAAGAAATGTAAAAAGGAGAGAGAAAGATTGGAGACAAAAGGGTAAAGAAAGAAAGAGAAGCAATAGATTCAAATGGGAGCTGAAGAAGAAGACGCTTTAGGAAGAGATTATGAGCTACTCATCACAGGGTCTTTGTTCTTCTCTGCTTGAATGATAATGGTTGTCACAGCCAAATTAATAAAGAAACAGTACCAAATGCATGCAAATTAAGAAAAAGGATGTGTGTGTGTGTGTGTGTTGCATTTTTGTTCTTTTATATCATTTTGTTGATATGGGGAAGGAAACACTCTTATTACCCCTACGGAATATTTTACTTCATTTGGTGAATCAGTATGTGTAAATTATACATGATTTAGCAGCGAAAGATTTTCTCAGAAACTTTATTTGTTCCAAGCAGCCTCAAAGCCCAAGCAACTTCTATATGTCAAATTGTTAAAAAGAGAGGAACAATAATCTAATCTAAATTGTCTATTAATTACATGAAGTGATGCCCTAAATGATCCAATGTATTATTGTGTGTGAATTAATGCTTCAGTAATAAACTTTAATTTTTGTGAAATTGAAATATTCTTTATTAGTTCATCATAATTAGGATAGGATACAATAGTTTACATTTCTTCATCTATATAGACAATAAACAATTCAATTAGTTTTAATTTATTGCCTCTCTACGTAAAGATCGTAGGTCAACATCTCCCTACCAAGGCACGTGCTAAAAGTTCAACCTTTTTTGTTCTTAATGATTAGTTTGTAAAATATTATCTCCACACATTAAATTATTGGCATGTTTTAAAATCATTATAGAAAAACACATAATTAAGTACGTTATTTTGGCGATGATCATGAATATTTTTACTGGGAGCAGTAAGAGATTTTAACGTAGGTTTACTTCATAAAATATTAATAAATTGTCCAAATTAAAAATAAAAATAAGGAAACTAACTCATTTAAACAACAACTGCTTTGAGTTGGCGAATTCAATGACTAATTTGCCTGCATACTTAATATTATTCTTACCCAAATGCATGTATAGTATATTGAGATCAGATTCTCTAAATTTTATTTTATGCTTTCATAATGTTTTTAAAATAGAGGAGTAAAAAGAAAAACTCATTAAATAAATTTTTTAACACTCTTCCTGTATCTCATTCTCTTGTTTTTTATTTTTTGTCTTATTTTTGAAATTCATTTGAAAAATTAAGAGAATAGAAATCCTAACTGTACAAGTGGCGGGTGAGAGTGATGCTTGGAGCGGACCACTTCTTGAGGAATCTATGTATTTATCAGTATCACTTGCCAGCCACTAGGCAAAATTATCTGAGCCTCTTATTCATAACTCTTTTACAGCATCAGTATACCCCATCACATGATGCTCTATGGTGACAGTGACAATACAGAAAAACAAACGAAAGCAAAATTTCTGGTTTAAACTTTAAACTATCAGTTCCTCTCTTTCTTTTAATGTAAAAATCACATATTAATTAAAAGAAGATTTGACATCAGAATTTAGGTTTTTGTACGTCTCTTGTACAGCTTCTTGGGTAGAAATAGGTAGTATAGTTTAGAACATAAACATGTTGCATACGAGAAGCTATTATTCCTACTGAATCCAAGTCAAGATGTTTGGGAGTCGCTGTCTGCAGTTGATTCAGTTATAGGGTGAGTTTCTCGCTGTCTTTGAAGTTATAATAATGTAAACAGATGAACGTAATCATACATGTGACTGAGAATAATAACTTGGTAAAAATCCTGGTTCATCCCAAAAGGCAGGCAAACTTGGAAAGCTACGTACATTCATCACATAATATATATAATATGTCAGAGTCTAACCTGATATTTGGCTACTTAAAAGGCAGAAATTCTGCCTCTTTCTCGTAGAAATGTTCACTCTTGACTGTTAAAACAATGATTGTTCCTCTCCTATCTACATATATAGGGCTTTTTGGTTGCCTGCCGGAAATACTGGTTCAGTATTCTTCAAGCTTGTCGTGTTCTGAAATTCTCACGCATCCGGTCGTTTTGTTTACCTTCACGTTAAAGAATCATCATGATGATTCTTAAAAAAAAAAAAAACAATAAACCGACGAGTATGTTTAATATATTGTGGTATAAAATTGAGGAGATGGAATAAATAAGTGAAAGGAGAAGCTTAGGTGGTCCAAGGTGGAGAGACGTGAACGAGCTCGAAACTGATCACATGCAAAGAGGAAAGAAATGGCGACATGGACAAAATATGTTCAAACAAAAAGCCAATTTTGTTGAGTGTACCTCATTGGGTTTTTTGTGTGGTTTCTTAGCTCGGTTTGTAGGGGACCAGAATCTCTTACACGATCCATGTTCCTTCTTTTTTATTATTTCTCACGCCTTCTCTCCTATGTTTCTCTCAACACCCTAAATGGCCCTTCAAATTTCCGAGTCACACCCATCAGCCCAAAAACCCTAGAGAAACAAGTATGTTTTGCGCCATAATTAAGAACCCTTCCTAGAAGGTGGCCCATTTGTATTCACTTCCCTCAATGTGTGTATGTAATTAACGACAATGTTGATGCTTCTTTCGAAATAAAATCAACAATTTCACGAAAAAAACCCTCTTCTTCTTTAGTTTATTTTTTTTTATATTTGTTAGGTTTGGATTATTACCCTAATCCTTTATTTAGATTTTCTTTTTTATAATATAATAATCCCTCAATTTTTTATATCAAGTTGTTGAAGGTTTTTATACAAAGATTGAGAAAAACAAGTTAATGTGTATTGGAAAATAATTGGAGATACTAATATAAGGGTATGTAGGGAAAGTAGTAATTAATACTCTCTCCATTTTAAATTATAAGATAATTTTGAAAAAGTTTGTTATCTTAAAATATAAGACACTTTAAAAAGAATAAAGTTTCATTAAATAAGCTTATTCCAATATTATATCCTCTCTTTCTCTCTATTTAATACTAATTACATGTAGATTTAATGTTATTAAATGGTGGATATTTTTAAAAGTTAGTATTTTGATTTTGGAAAAATAAATTATTAAGTATATTTAATGAGATTTATTAGTATATAAAATTTTATCTAAAAACGTCTTATAACTTAAAATAAAAGGAATTAGTATATATAAGAAAACAATTCTTAAAAGTGAAAATGGAGGGAGTATAACGTAGTAAATATTGCTAAAATGAGATGTAACTGAATGCTAATGAGTGCGATTATAAATGCATTTATAGATGAGGATCTTGTCATCTTCTGTTCTTAATATTAGGTAATTTAAAATAATTGCACTTATAATTTCGTTTCAAGCTGTTAATCTTCAATATTGTGAATATCTGCAAAAAGGACTTTTCAAATATCTCCTTTAAGTAAAAAATAGAAGAAAGCATGAAAATAATTATTTTTAAATTGATGATTATATTGTTTCAGGCCAAAACAAACATTGACAGCTTACGTATTAACCTATCTTGAGTTTTAAAGATTAAATAATAAATTAATTATTTAATATTTCAGAACCTTTAAGATAATATTTAAATTTAATTATTTTAAAAAATAATTATACCACCAATTTCAAATAATAATCATCCCATTTATTAACTAACTTGTACACATTTGGATCTAGTCAAATCAGTTCACCATATCGTGGGCATCTCAAGATTTAGTAACATCGATTACAAGACTAAAGAATTTACTTGTAAAATGTAGTTCAAGAACAGTTCAACAGAAAAGATGAATTAGATTTTCAAGAGATCATGCAATTTAATTTTTTTAATTATTGTGGACCAGTATCTTTAATCAAGCACTAAATGTGAACATACATTTGAATAGAAAAAACATAATTTTTGATCTTTACACTTTGCTTATATTTTGCTATAAGTCTTTGTATTTTCTTTTAGTGTTTTGGGTTTTTACTACTTTCATTTTTTAATTTTTTAAATTCCTCCGAGATCTCTACACTTTATTCATTTGGAGATTTAGAACACCGAAAAATGAAAGTATAAGGACCCATAATACTAAAAAAAAGAACAAAAATTTATAACAAAATAAGAGTAAAATATGGCATTAAAAATTATATTTTTTTTTTAAATATTAATTCATCATAGTATGAAAGAATAACTCGTTTCACCAAATCAAATCCCATGGACAGAACTTTCAAGGTAATAAGTCCAATAAGTCATGGATAATGAACCCTTTAAGTATAAGCCCAGATAAGTCTTATCTAGCAAACCCAAAGTTTAGTTGGACCAAGTTTAGCCAGTTAAAGCCCCGAGCATAAGGATTTTTCTCATTATCTTTTTTCGTCCTTTTTCTTGTTTTCCCCCTGCAAACATGTGGCAGTGGGAAACTAGTATCTCATGATGTTTCTGGCTGATATTGAGTCTATCTTAAGGGCAATCTGATATTTATTGATATAATCAAATTTGTTAAACTTACAAGTTTAAGTAATCTCATAATAAAAATATAAACTTATATAACAAATTTAAATTATAAACTTATAAAAGTTTACCTTTATTAAAAAATTACCATTAAAATATAATTATAATTTAATTTAAATATATTAAAAATATAAATAATTAAAATTAAACCCATCTATATTGATAAATTATTATATATAAGACATAAAAATTTTAAAATAGGAGAATTTATTTTTAGTATTTTTGTTTTCTTTTTTATTGATATTATTTTTTGCATTTCAAGTTTTTTTTTTGAATTAAGTCTTATAATTTTTATAAACTAAATTCTTCATATTATATGCTTAACTCGCTCAACTCAAAAAAAAAATTAATGAGCTTAACAAGTTTAACTAAGCTTGCATCTAGTCTGAGTTTATGAATTAATTGATACGATTTTGTAAGTTAGAAATGTAAAAACAATTAATTCAAAAGTAAACTTGCGAGTTTAACCGAGTTTATATTTAACTCGAGTTTATGAATGAGTTGACATGATTTTATAAGCTGAAAATGTAAAAATGTTAAACTCGTAAAGTCAACTCAAGAGTTTGACAATTATGAATATAATCACAAAGATAACAAGTATATAAGTATACATAAAAAATCCATTACACTGTATTCGCCACTTCATTCGTTCGCTCAAGTTACTAAGGACCAAAATATTGTCAGTACAATTTTGTTAATGTTAATATTGACCTCCTACCAAAAAGATTGTCATGCATCCACTTGCTTTCCACAAGGTGCATGATATATTAATCAACAAGTCAATTAGGTATAAAAATATAAAATAGATGAAAGATGCGTGTCATTTCAATAAAATTTAGGATATGTTCATATAATTTATTCTCTTAATATTGCTTCAGTATGTTTTGAAAAAATTGTGGAAGTTTAATTTACAACTCCTTTGCAACTAACATTTCATCACTTATAACCAAACTTTTAGGATTTACAAAGATTCCACTTGAGTATTCATAATTCCCGATTTATTATTATATAATACTCAAAATTTACTCTCAAATACATTAACAAGTATAGGATTTTACAATGTAATCCTAAAGAACCGTTTCTACAAAAATCCCCCCTTTTTCCCACAAAACCTTCATCTTCTGACATGGTCATGGGAATAGCACACGATCTACTTATGTTCCTCACATGTCTGACAAATGAAGATTACACTGAAGGATTCTTCACATCTCATTATTCCTTTAAAGCTTCACAAGCACACAAAAAAGAGCATATATCTTGGTGTACATAATCAATGTTGCTCAAAAGAGTCGGAAGGTTGTTTCAGAGCAGCTTCTAAGTCGCCATCTCCCTCTGCGTTTGCAAACTTCAAGAAATTTTCAATCACTTTGGAGTGCTCACTGCTTCCATGTCTCAGAGGAAACCACTTATTCTTATGTGTTTTTCTTTTTCTGTCACTTATGGCAATGGCTATATCGTTGGGGAAGAGGTCCTTGAGCACAAAAGCGTGAATAATGGTGGATACAAGGAGTGCTGTTATTGTGAGTGTTGAGATGATACTCAGAACCACACACAGACCCTTTGTGACTACGTTGGTGACCTGGACTGAGTACCTTATGGTGGCAATTGCTGCACCAGTCATTGGAAACGTATAGGCCCACCAAGCAAGTGAGAATCTGCATAGTCATATAAAATATTTATCAGAAAATTTGCTGCATTAATCAGCAGTTATAAATCTACCAAATTAACTGACGTGAGAAGCCAACAGAGACTGAACATACTTGAATCCTCTGAAAAAGTTGACCCGGATAGCCTGCATAAGCATAACAAGATCATAAGTTTTTTTTTTTTTTTTGGGAGCAAAATAACAAGATCATAAGTTAACTTTTATTATGAGATGAATGATTCATAGTGTTGGAGCAAGTTGGACAGGTTATAATAGGTTTGTTTTAGACTAAGAAAGCATCAAGATACAATTTTTTTTTTTTTGGGAATAAATTTGGTCTATTAGATTGTATCAAACCAATAATATATGAAGGAACTATAGTGACACTGCGACTTACCAATGAAAAATAGAGGAAGAGTGCAATGAAATATGCAATCTTTGATCCATAATCAAAAGAATCTTGGATCCGAGCCCAGGCCATGGAAGCAACACTGGGTGCTGCAACGAACAGAAAGAACACGGGATGAAGCTCTTTTGGGAGAGTTTCGTTTGTGGGGAGCCTCTGATAGAGAGTCACAAATAAAACTGTGTAGTGAGCCAGCCCCACAGCAAAGAAGAAGATAGGCCCTTCTTTCAGACCCATGGATGCACCCAACAATGCCCCCACAAAGTTTCCTACAATTGAGAGATGATTTGAAGGATTGGCCACTTTTGAGAGCCTTCTTTGACCCCCAGACATCCACTGTCCATAGATCTTAAGCTCAAGACATAAGATAGGAACCATCAGAATGTACCAAAGTGCATGATGCAAGTACTTGGACAGCGATGGAGGAACTCCAAGTGCTAAGAACAGGAGAGCTATCCATGGAGCAAAGAAGAAGTTCACTCGGATTGGATGGTAGTATTCACGACGAACTGCTTCAAAGTAGATGATGATTTTGAGAAGGTACATGGTGAAAATTGATGCAACAAGAACGATAGAGATGATCCATAAGACCAGGTTTACTTTCAGGCTTATGTGAAGAAACTCAGTGGAAGGAGATGTCGCCAGTGTTTTCCATAGAATTGCTTGGCTACTAACTCCAAGGCATATACCAAAAGATGAGATGGGAAACCGAAGAAGAAATGGCCACTTCTCGTCTTGAGGAAGCACTGTCTCTTCTGAAGCCTGTTGAATTAGAAAAACAAAAGAAAATTTGTTACAGACTTCATTAAGTTATAGCTCAGTAAATTTTGTTATAATCTCTAACAAACCCTTCAACCGGCAAAAAGCTTATTGGATTGAATTGTGGAATCGTGAGTTTAGCAATCAAGTGAACACTAGCATCCTAATTTCATTGAAAAGAAAAACAGTTCCTGGATTCTTACAACCTAGTGAATCTGTTTGTTTAGGTATGTACAATAAAATCTCAATCTTTAGGAAACTTTGATGTGGTTTATCGGTACCAGAAGAATCTAACAGCACCGAAATAACCAGAAGAAAATCATTTACCCGTAAAGTTTCCAATTCTGGCCCTTGCAAGGCATCAAAATATCTATCAACTGTTATAGGCCTATCTGTGTTGTTTGAGCTATTGTCCTGTTGTACAGCCCCTACTCTGGGAGACTTTCCACGGAGAATTGAAATCTGTCTCTCAAATTTCCCAGAAAATGTCTTGAATGGATCAAACCTGTTGTCCTTCAACCTGTTCACGTGTGGATTCTGGCCAAGGTTCACTCTTCCATCAGTTTCTTCTGGGTACACATGGCCTTTCGGCATTGGCTGAGAATAACATTTTGTTTGGCGTGATGGTTTGGATCCTTCAGTGTTTGATTGAGAAGAGGGATTTGGAGTACCATCACCTAAAGTTGTTTCACCATTCAAATTGTTCTGTGACTGAACTTCTTCAGGAGAAAGTGGCATGCTGATAGAAACAGAAATCTTTCTTTGATGATTGATAACAGCGGATCCATCACCTTGGCCTCCTTCTAAATCTTTTTGACTTTCCTGCTACATGTACGTGTGAAGATATTTGGAAATCAGTTTGTATCTTAAATATAACTACAAATTAGAATGAAACCACACGATCAGGTACTCAAGCAATAAAAACATATATTTAGTGCATCAGATTGATCACAACCAAAAAAGATATTGAGAAGTTGGAGTTATTTACGATATATGAATCTTTTAAACTATCAAAATCTTACTTTAGCAGATGAAGCGAGAAATTGTAACTCTGTAGCATTATCGATGCGATCAAAACCAGCTACTTCATTTGATGATATGTACTTAATTAGTGATGGAACTTCAGGCGATCCATGCTCTGTAATCTCATGGCTTGTACTATTCTCCATGCTACGCCTGAAAGGTATAAGAACTGTTCTGTAAATTGAGGCTTCCTTAATTTATTTTACTAGCAATATCAATTGGATCTGTGAGTACTGAAAACTAGTAACTGTTCATTTACAAAGAAACTGAAACTATAGCTGGAATCAATATGTTCTGAATCTCAGAGCTTCACTACTACTTTCAGATGTAATATTGATGCAAGATTGGACAGAGAAGCGCCTATAACTGCATATAGTGCTTGCAAAATCTCTGATCAACTTGAGATCGGTGAACAGATAAGAATTATGCATCAGCTATCCATGGTGTTCTGCTTTCTTTTTTTGTTGTAAATTGACAATCTTTTGTAGATGTTTCTTGAATCACATTCATCCACGTAAATTTTAGTCAGAATGATTTTCTTTCCAGTTATCAAACGCTCGTATCAAACACAACACTAAACTTTGAATTACACATCCGTGTGATCATATTCGTGGATATCATTCTTCAGAAAAAGAGAACAAATCAAAATGGCATTGCCCTGTATTCAGATAGTCTAAATCAGAGAGATATGCAGATGTCTTTTTACTGATTGAGAGGAAACACAAATTACTATCATCCCTCGTCAAGAACGGCTTCTGTCAGTCATAATAACAAGCAGGAAAAGGTCATTTTCCACCCCAAGAAAAAAAGAAAATGAACGGACGGAAAGTTAATGGGAGGACGTGGAAGCATCAAAGGTCGGTAATGAATGTAGAGAGTTTGAAGGAACGTTTCAGTCCCTTTCATATTTACACCCAGAAACTGTATGGTTTGGAAGTTCCATACATCTTTCTAGCCTGCCAGCTAAATCTTCAAAACTCATGAATGTATCATCCCAGGCCAGAAATCTCAGACGCGGAGCCTCACTATGCAGATTTAAGTATCAAATTACTATAAGAAAACACATCAAGAATTCATACCTTTACAAGTTATTCACTTTTTCTCTCGTCGTCCGCAGAGAAACTGATAGAGCTCAGGAATGGAATCAGAGCCAGAAGCTTCAAGAGATAATCCTTTGAGGACAAAGAAGAATGTGATTTTGGTTGAAGAAGAAGAAGAAGAAGAAAGAATGAGAGGAGGAGGCGAACACATGGCTTGCGGCTATGGGAAGCGGCTTATGTATAATACGATTCTGAGGTAGACCACATGTACAGGCAAAAAGATTACATCAAAAAAGGACTTCATTGGAGATATGAAATGGAAATAATAATATTCACCGGAATTTAATTTTCGAGAATGACACGTTGATCTATGCAGGAAGGCAAAGCCGCTCAACATGCGGACGAAATATTAATTTGACTAACCAGCAGGTTGATTTGACAAGACGGGAAAAACTGATGAAGAGGGTTATGAATTATAAAGCAAGTATTTAACTGCATCTTTTCTTTTTTCCTTTTTTTTTTTAAGCGAAAGTTTAACTGCGTCCTTATTCATGTAAAATGGAGATTATTGCAATGGTGGCGTTCGAGAAAAGTAATTTGTGTGCTTCAGCACGTGATGTAGAAGAAAGTTTAAGAGCCACGGAAGCTTCATGCATTATTCAATATTCACGTAGCTAATTTCCTCGACAGACTTGTTCAAATTTACGTTTACAGAAAATAACTTTGAATACATATGGTTAAAAATTACGCTTAGAGACAAAGATAATTCACTAAAAAAAGAGAGGAGAAAATAATGAGAAGACAGCGTAGCAGGTATTCCGAGGACAACGGAATAAGCTGAAGAAAAACAAACGAAGATTAGGACAGGATTAATAAACAAACATGAGGAGCCATAAAATAGAATTAAAGAAAGAAAAATAGGAGTTTAATAGTAATTATTAATTTTTTGGGGCCTTAAAACAAGGAAAGGATGGAGCTTGATTGATGTTCAAACTTGAAAGTACAACAAAAGAAAGCTGTACGAAGTCAAAAGGATTAATTAGAAATTGAAAAGAATCGTTATCATCACAGCCAGGACGCCGCGCAGCTGCTCGATTTCATTGGAAACCAAGATTTCATTTAGTAACCACGCGTCACCAACCCTTTTTATTCCTCCTCAAGAAAACTACACCTTAATTATTTCATTTATTTTTACGCCCCCCAACTTGATCACAATTCAAATGGTTAAATATTCGTAGATCACAATTTTCTTGCCTAAGCTTGTTACCACGACTTCTTCACTTAATTAAAAAATTCATGCATATCTTTGGATATTTTGCCCACTTCATATCCCCACATCATGATTAATATATCTCATCTGCTATATCTAACATGAACACTTTTATTTTACACTTGATGTAAGTACAATGTTTTACGGTATTCAGCTATCGATGGCTCATTGGTTTTTCCATTCTTGTTTCCAGAACTTTTTTATGTAGCAATTTCACAGGCTCTCCTTTTGATTTCATTTTCAGAAAACTCCAGACTGATGATACCTTATCAATCATAGTTAACTATAAACAGTTAACGCTTGTTACCAAGCAATTTGATCAAACTACAAGATGACACAAGAAGGGAAAATTTTTTAATCAAGTAGGCTAATTAAGTATTTTCTCTGCTGATACTTATCATAAGGCATTTTTTAAGAAGAAATTGATTATCCTTCTTATAAGTTACCACCATATGGATATTAATTTATTTTTTCTAATATCACTCTCATTTAAAGTCATTAACTATATAAAAAAATAACATGATATAAATTTGAAAATTTCCTATTATTCCTTTTTTTTCAATGCATGGATTTAGATATGGGCAAAATTGAATTTTTTTCATTTTTAAATAAATTAATAATGTAACCATCTCAACTTGATTTTGATATAACTAGTTATTAGAGTTATGTTATAATAAGGATAGGAGAAGGAAGTAATGTCTATCAAGTCCGTGAATTGCAATATTTAACAATTAACACTTACTCGTACATAAATTAGTGAAGTGATGGCTTCTTCAGTTAAAAAATTTACATATCACGGATATTTTCCCATTCATATCCCAACATATAAATTGATTATTAACACGAACAATTTTACACTTGAAGTAGAATGTTTTACGCACGGTATTTAGTTAAAGATATGGTTTCCATTATTCTTGAATCCAGAAATAATTAAATAATTTCTTATATATCTAGCAATTTCACAGGTTCACTTTTTCAAGAATGCTTCACAGTGAGAGTTTCTCAATTAATTACTAAACTCTTCTTACTATATAAGCAATCTGATCAAGCAAGATGATAGGCAAGAAAAACAAAATGATGTTTTTGTAATCACCAAGTGGGCTAACGAAGTAAAGCCTTATTAATTCTTCGAGTTTCTGAATTGAAATGTCAAATAGAGAACTAATAATGATCTGTACAGAAACAAAGGAGTGAATTAATGTTGAAAGTCAATTAACGTGTGTGTAAAGCGAGGAGTAATTTCCACCGTCAATTTCGCCAGGGAATTAAAAAAAAAGGGGGTTGGTTAGATTAGAACAACAACACTGAGAATCAAAACAAATAAAAAAAGTCAAAAATTAAATATGCAAATATTTGAAGACCACAGATGGTGGCAAGGCCTAGCAAGAGTCCCCACTTACAGCTAGGCTTAACAGACGTGCCTTATATGTTCATTAATTTGGCAATAAATTATAAGCGTAGAACAGCTAAATCTGCAGTAGCAAGACCAAACACGCCTCTTATATATTTTCTGTGTGGTCCCTTTTTATTAATTTTATATATCTAATTAGGAATCTGTTTCTGCGAATGTTCTTCACCATATGTGAACATTATTTCTCCCATCTCTTCAGGTCCATCTACTCATCACTAGTTTCGTTAATTATTGCCTTTTTTTTTTTCCTACTCAATAGAGAAAAATATCTAAGAAAAATTATATATATATAAACATATATAAAAAAATAAAATCTAAAATGATCATATATATAAAAAAAAAGAAAATATGATATCTGCTGAAAAAAATGATAAAAAATTGTTTAAAATAACTTGAACATGTACAGAAAAGTCCGTGGGAGGCATCGGTGAAGAAAGTGAAATGAATAATTTTGAGTCCTGTAAATAGAGATAAGGAAGGCCAAAAACAAGATTTATGAAAGTTGTTGAATTAATGGAACCTCTTGATTAACAATAATGTTCCTAAGAGCTTGGTTTGATGATGGAATATAATAGTGTCATGCAATCTATATAACTGATCTCACTTAATAGGATAAAATTTATTGTTGTTGTTGTCCTCGCTGTCATCGGCTCAAACAGCAATTTATAACTGAGCAACTTGATTACATTATGCTCCCCCCAATCTCATTTATAAGACAAAGAGATGATAATTTTTTTATTATATAAGTTATGTTATCACTTATTTATCACAAGTTTCACTTTTAAATCTTGCCATTAAATATTAGTGAGAGAAATTATATTATATATATATATATATAATAAAAGTAAAGTTAAAAAATTATTAAATTTTTAAAAGAGTTAATAAATTTTAAAATTTCATTTAGCTCCAATGAAACAAGTTAAAAATGATTTATAAATAAATAAAAAATAATAATGTGTATTCGTTTTTCTTTTCTGGCCCTTTCGAGCTATTGATGCGTCTGTATTGAAATCCAGACAAAACAAAATAGTGTGAATAATGAAAACTGGATTCGTCTTTCACACTCATGTCCAGCTGATGGCCAGCCGCGACTAAGGGGTTTGTATTCATTTTGAACTTTAATTCGGTGTGTTTCCAATTTAGCGGCATGAATAAGTAAATATACTAATTAACCTTGGCTTTATGATTAACTGCAGTAGATCGTGAAAAATAGAATTCCATCCTTGGGCCAATTTTCGCGCGCAACGCAGTAAATTTTTCTTCATTTTGAACTTTAATTTTTAACTTCAACCTTCACTTTGTGATTAATTGCAGTTTGTGAAAAAGTGTATATTCTTCACTCTTCAGGCCACTATTCACGCAAGACGAAAAAACTACCCAGATTACATGGTTTGCGCTCTGCATATCCTAGTCAATTCATATATCAGGTTTTTGTTGGGCCAAAATATATTTGGTTTAATTAATGGGTTAATGAACATTCTTAACCTTGAAGCATTAGGGCACCCTAAATCTTAAATTTTTAAAATATATAAAATTGACCCTAAACTTTTAAATTTATAATAAATTACCTCTGCTGTTAACTTATACCAAATGGCTTTATTGTTCACTTAATGGGACCTAGTCAATATGCTAATGTGGCAGTCCTTTGTTGGAATGTCATTGTTAACAAGTATCAGAGATCTTAAACTATTGCACGAGTAATATCTTATACCTTGAACTTTAAAATTTAGAATAATTTATTCCCACTGTTTATGTGTAGAACGTTGACTATTAGATAGACTAAATTAGCCTCAGCTTGATTTGCGGCAGTGAACACATCGTTGGCTACAACAAACAACTCATAATTTTGTGAAATAATTTTTTTGCAATGTTTTCCAAACAATTAGCATCTCATACTTCCATATACTCTATAACTCTTATGTAGCCTTATTTTAAATAATATTTATTTATTTAATAGTGAAAATTTGGGATCCTATTTGAAAAAAAGTTTAAGTACGATGAATGCGAAAACCAACAATTTCATAAATAAATTTCAAACCCAAATTAATGGATTAATTAAAATCCTCCAATATTTAAAATTTTTTCAAATGAGATTTTAAGTTTTTACCATTAAATAAATAAATATTATTTAAAAAAATTAAATTAAAGTTATAAAGGATACGGAAACATGAAATATCAATCATTGAAAAAACATTACAAAAAAAGAAATAAAAAGCATTATTTGACAAAATTTTGGGTCATTCATAGTGACCAATGATGCTTTCATTGTGGCAGACCACACTAAAGCATTACATAGTTGTGCATGTAATTGTCCAATAAGAGGCATCATATATAATTAATTTTGTAATAGTGTAGTTTGTAACCTATCAAACCTTCATATTGGTTTGTTCCACTTCATTGAATCTACCTTCTTCAGTTTAAAATATAAGCAGTTTTTTTTTAAAAAAATTGTATACTAGTAAAGTTTTCATTCTCAAAAAAATAGATATTGTTTTCCGTTTTACACCTAGTTTCAATTACTCGTGCACTCCATGATGAGAAATAGACATATTTACATAAAGATATAATAAATACAAGGATGAAATGGAAAAGTCATTTTTTAGATATATTAGGTTATTTATATTTTAAATCAAGATTAGATGAAAAAAATGCTTATATTT